GGAGTAGGAGTAGGAGTAGGAGTAGGAGTAGGAGTAGGAGTAGGAGTAGGAGTAGGAGTAGGAGTAGGAGTAGGAGTAGGAGTAGGAGTAGGAGTAGGAGTAGGAGTAGGAGTAGGAGTAGGAGTAGGAGTAGGAGTAGGAGTAGGAGTAGGAGTAGTAGTAGTAGTAGTAGCGATTGTTCATCTCAGCTGAGATGGCAAGTTTCCTAACTACATAATGACAACCACTACACGACTTGGAGTAGAAGTGTATAAAACCCAAACGAAAATTTCCCCAAAATTTCTCTTAGAATTTTCGTACTAGTAGTTGAGGCTGCACATATTTTTCCTAATTGGTGATGATGACACTCCTCTAAAGCTGTATTCAGTAGTCGTCGTCATACGAAGAAAGGCGCAAGCTGGAGCGTACAGTAGCAGATCTACAACGTAGTGTTAAGCGGATGCAGTCTCGCGATGAGGTTGGTATTAATCGTGCTGAGATAAGGTATCTTAGGTTGCCAGGCGAAAGATACGTTTGAGGCCCGATTGAGTAACATAGAGAATATTACCAGAGAATTGTCGCGACGGCGAATCGAACCGGAGACCTATCTAAATGACAGGTGCCTTCAACCTTCAGGGGGCTTTGAGGCATGCATGGTTTAGATTCGACGCCCTTAAGGATGGACTCAGTAGTAGTCTTGTCGCCTTTTTGGAGGACTTCAAAAATGATACCACTCGCCGGGTTAGTGGTGGAGAATCGCGGAAGTTTGAAGAACTCATTGATTTATCGTTAGTTGGAGGAAATTCAGCGTCAGTCGGGAACAGCACAGTTAAGGGAAGAATTTACAGACGTTTTAATGGCGGAGGGACGGAGGATCGATGACAAGATTGACCAGTTGAGGTCTGATCTCGAGGCGCGAATTGACGAAGGAGTGGTATGAAAAATTAATTCGACATATTATTGTAGAGGAGAATCAGGCGTCATTGAAGTTGGAAATACAAACTGCTATGGTTGTCCACGACCGAGTTTCCGTAGCAGTAGGGTCAGAGCTATCTGGTGTGGATGAGTCCCTCTCCTCACGAGAAAAGGAATCTAGTGTTGGTGGTAGTAGTAGTAATGGCGGCTCTCCAGATGCTCTATTGGAAGAGTTGACCGGGGGGAATCATGATGATGATGATGACAACTGATGACATGTTATTTTTCACTGTGGTTCTTTGTTGTGGTGGGCCGCTTAGTCGTGGTGAATTCTGAGATTTTATACAACAATGGTGATAGGGAACATTCATGAGGGTATGTTTGATACTCATTCTGGTGATTTCTTAGACGATAGTGAATTCCGCGCTATATCGTCTCACTGGCTAGAGTTACTGAAATTTGTGAGAGTCATATTTCTACTATCCGATGTGGGAAAATCTGCACATGGTTAACTACGTGTGTTGGTGACAATATAAGAATTCTGGGAGGCAACTTGGGTTTTCATACACTTCTACTACCAATCGTGTGAAAATTTCTGAGCTCAGCAGCTGAGGAGAGCAAAACATATTTTCTTTCAACACTGCTACAGTACGCGCATTTTGAAGGTCCACTTTCGTGTAGTAGTTTTAGCTTCCTAACGGCTGTTCATATCAATCTGATTCTTTCTACAGGAACCCTCTAAACTTGCTTAGATATGCCATGGATTTGGTTTTCGGAAAAAAATGCATTTTTTTTACAAAAAAAATATCTCGTGTACCCATTGTGTAGAAAATTGTCTCCTTTTTTCGATGGCTACCCCCTCACCCATCGTTTCCTTCACTCCGCGGAATTTCCGTTCATCACCGGCGTCGGTCGTTCGCTTCTTCCGATACGGTAGCGATGATTCGCTTCTTGTGGTGGGCTCTCCCAATGAGGAAAATGTGATGGTAATACTGGTCAGTTTCCGGACCTCATCCGTATCTTAGCCGCTTGAACCTAAGATTCAGCAGGTCTTTCGGTACCGCTGTGAAGGTGATGAGCATCCGCAAGTGGAGGAAGTGTCGGAGCTTCCCGGTCACAACATGGGCGTATCGGACATTGCTGTGAACTCAGTCGGAACAAGTGAGGTTCATTTTTTGAGGATATATGAAGTTGAGGCAAGCGTGAAAAGTATAACACGTTCAATGAGTTCTTAAAAATTCACCACATTACCAAAAATACACGCTAGTATGAATCTACACTGTGCTAACATACGGCGAGCATCAACCCCATAACGGAGGCTCCTGACCTCAGCCGTAGGTAGTTACCCTTCAGAACTTCCCGAGAATCGTCGTTAAGATATGTCCACTTTTTCTCGTCGTTATTTTAATTCTATGATCTACTGGGGAATCGGTATTCTCTCATCAGTACTCCTGATGCCTTCTCACTCAGTCATCGTCACAAGCGGGTTGGACTCAACTGTTCGAGTTTGGAAACGGTCACGGCAGGGGAAATACGAACACTAGTATCGTCATCATTATTGGAGTAGAAACATGATAAATTCTGACCCTTTTTACTCAGTCGTAACATTCCAGCGGTTGGAGGGAAGACCATCGACATCGGCGATATTGATCACATCGCGATCCTTACTCGCGAGGCCGGTCGCTACAATGTTCTCGTGAGGACTTCCCCGTCGCACTGGTGGTAGCAGGAATCTCCTTACAGATCTCCGTTGGGTCAGCTGGTGGGAAGATCCACTTCACCGACTTGGCCACTGACGCTTCCTCGGACACGGGTGGACGAGGGACCAAGCGCCCCGTACGTCGACTCATCCCCCCAGTCGATTGTCTCTATCGCGGAGCTAAAAAGACCTATCTCGGCTGTGTTACGGCGATGCAGTTGGTGAGTAGCAACTCTGTACGGGGTAGTATCATCAACTGTTTCAGTCTGAGGATGGTTCTTACTTGGCTTATGGGACTTCGAGTGGGTACGTGGGTGTCGCTCGCCTCGTATGCGATGTCGAGGAAAGCAGTCTGCGGCTTGAGTGTGAGCTCAGAGGAGTCCTCAGATGTAGTCGTGGGGGCGCTCTTTGTGAGGGGTGATAGTAGTAGCCGCTCAGGTTTCAAGTCGGCGATATCTTCCCCAGTGCGTTGTCTCGCTACACATGGTGACATTTTGTTGGTGGGAGGCGAAGCAAATGTTGGGCGAATTATGGCGATCGATATGTATTCAACGGGTGTGGGAATCGAACCTGCGTAGTTTTGAGTTCTATTTAGGTCGCGAGTATCGGGCTATCTGGTGGATGAGAGTGGAGAGAGGAGCAGTGGTTCGAAGAGTCGAAAGACTAGAAATCCCGCAGTAGTGTCAACTTCTCTACTAGCCTGGAGGTTAGCATGTCTGGCTGTCAACCTGTAGATCCTCGGTTCAATTCCCCTCAACTACACTTGTCGTTTAAGAGCCATACTCGTTTCTGAGTCCCAAGGGCATCTGCAGCATCCCTCCTTCCTTCTATCTCTAGTGTAACTAAAGGACTTCCCTTCCCCGAGAGCATCGCCCTCATATAGGTCCTCGGACGGGACAGTGCAAAGCCATGAGCTCCCCCTAGGGCCCGAGGGCTGGGCGGATGACCAACCCGAGCCTAGTACCGTCAATTTCTTGGATCTCCGGTCGAAAGGTGAAGTTTTACCCTCTATTTTTCGTGTATTTTCCCTATTAGGAACCCTAAAGCTTTCCCCAGTGACAATCTGTGGAGTGGCTACAGCTGCTCTGAAGACTCCTCCTGCCTCGTGGCACGACTGTGCGATAGTTGCCCTGCCGAATGGGAGTATCGAGATGTAAGACGTGAATGAGGTCCTTTCGAGGGAGGAGTAACCGTCAGTTACCGACAACGCGAATGCTCTCCTCCTGAGATGCCGGAGTTGCCTATTGAGGTCGAAGGCGGCGTCTTTGATATGTTTAAATCAGCAGCATCACAACATCGTCAGTTGAATGTTGCAGAGAATTGGAATCAAGAGTTGTTGACCAAACACTATGAGGAGCCTCCCCCAGCAACAACTGCCGCTACGCAAGGAGGTTGGAGTACGTGGGTGTTGCAGGAGTACTCAGGCGCTATCTCAGGAAACGCCACAAGACCTGATGATGTTGAAATGGAGGGCGTGGACGGAGGGAAGCCCTCAGGACCTGTCGAGGCGACAGGACCATCATCGCCTTTGATCACGTCAACACAGCCTATGGTCGGCTCGTAGAGTTTCGTGAAAGCTGCTGGGATTGAGTTCGCCATGGTTAGAGGCACTGCGTTCGATGGTGTGAAATCAGAAGCGGTTGTGTGGTTACAGTACAGTTGCTCGTCATGCCGCTGTGGGGTATCAAAGTCGTGGCGACAACCGAGTCGTCGTCGGACCGTGAACTTGGGCAAGGTTTCAAGATTTAGGATGCCGTTAGGTTATTGGGGAAATGTGGACATGATATATGCCAATTTGTGTTTTGTTTTACAACATCCCTGAGAGGCTGAGTTCCAGCAGAGCACGAGGATTCGTATAATCAGCTGCATGTGGTCAGTTTTGATGACAGATTGGTAGCACATGGTGTACGTAGTGTTCGTGTCGCGAGATATCGCGCTGGCTGAGTTTCCCTCTGCTGAGCTCAGGAGTGTTTTCAATCATAGAAGTTTACGAAAAAAATCGGTAGAAATGTATAAGAACCAACAAGAATTAACTCAGAAATTTCACGGAGATTTTGGGAAATTCTTGTAGGCTTGTGTACATTTCTATTCGAATTCGTGCGTAAACTTCGGAAACCCCAAAACTCCCGAGCTGAGCTGAGGAAAGCAAAACTTTTTTCCTCCATCACTGGGATGATACGCATCTGCTAGAGGTCATAATAATATTCTTTTGTGATTCCCCACAATACGTCGGAGGTCTCCAGAACATGGATTCGCTGGAGTGTCGTTGTCCACCGGCATTATCATTCAACCGGTGTTAACGTTTATCACTCCGTCGTAATGGACATCTTCTTCTTCTGGTGCAGCATCGCTTCGACCAGGCTGGTTGTAGCGAGTATAGGGGTATTGTTGAGGGCTCAGTGTGCAGCATTGGATGTATATCGACATATTATAATTGTATATATATAAGTCGTACTGCACTC